GATTGCAATTTTTGAAAAATACAAGCCTGAATTCTTGTTCAACATTACCAATAGCTCTATAGCTCAGAGTACCCTGAATCCAGCTGCAAATTCCTCCATGACCAACTGCTGCTATTAGGAGAACATGGCTCATTCATAAGACTTTTTATTTCTGAACTTTGGTGTTCCAGACCCGAGAAAGATCAGTTCCAGATTTTCCCTGGGCTATTGGAAAGCTTGGTGCACAAACAAGGAGGAGTGGTATGGTGCCACCAATTACTTCAGCGTGGTCCTGATTTGTACCCTAGTGCAGATTATAACTGCATCGTGATGGCCTAAGAACATCCTGTGATTCAAAAGGCCATTGCAGCAGAGCAGAATAGCTTGACAATCCTTAACGGAGGCCAGAAAGTACTAGATTTAAAGAGTTAAGGAAGTGAAGAGCTGCCAGTGGGAAGGAATAAATCACACCCCCATTCATTTTGGCTGTCATTCGTTTGCCTTGAGGAAGAGCACGTAAACTTACTTTCTATAGGAGGATATTACCATCTTTACATTCTTGAACATTAATGAATGTGATGTATAGATTTTATCAGGAACAGAAGTACATCTCTGTTCTATGAACTGAATAGTCATATAAAGGGAAAACTGATTTATATTACTTTGGCTTTGAGGTAAAGAAAAGATGATTTTCCAGGTATCATTAACTTGAGATGAGATCATGAATGGTTCATTTTAGTGTGTCATGTGCACTTCTGCAGTGTGCAGAACTGCCTCTTGAAAAGATCTACTTCATTATTACCCAAATAGGTAGGAAGTCTTGAGCAGACTGACTGGAAAGGGGTAGTGAAAAGCCCCTGGGTGCAACTACATCTTCCATCTCACCAGCTGCCTTTAGAAACACCCGTCTGCCGAATAGTTTAAGAAGGTGGTTCACAATCACACTTCCTTCCTCACTGCTCTCCTGGGCTGCTTGTCCTGATAGTAAGACACAGTTATTTGCTGGCTCAAAAGGATTTGTTTTTGTTCTTGCTCTACTGTCTAATTTTCCATGTGGTAACACATTGAACTTACTAGTGAGCCTTGCCAAGGTGCAATTTCGAAGTTATCTTGTTTAGAAAAAACAGAGAAAACAATTATTATCTCTACAGGGTGCAGTAATTAAATTAGACACTTAGGCCTGGCTTGATGGGGTCAGGATAAAGATAAGTAGGACTGCATTCAGAAGTTGCTGGGTTGAACATAATTTCTGTTTACAGGATGTGTATGGTTACCTTCTGGCACAGATGTTGCCTGGATAAGTCTCAGGATCTTCTCCTAGGAATTGTGCCATCAGAAGCACCTAGTACGGCCTTTGGGCTTGTAGCTTGACTTTCCTCACCTGCCATAATGTTCATGCCTCAGTACCTCCCCCTTTCCCAGCTAGTTCCTATGTTTTATTGCCTTCCACAGCAGAACTTGGACTATTGGGAAGAAGAGGATAAGTGTACCTCATAAAAACATTAATTGAGATAGGATTATTGATGGCTAAGGTTAGCCTTGAATCCACATTTAAAGTACCAGAGCTATCTGAAGCATTTGCTGACACTTCATGTGTTCTTATGATCATGACTGACTATGTGGCACAATTTAGATGTGCCATTACCTCAATATCTTAATTACAGAACTGCTCTAAGGATTAAAGTTACTGTCTTTGGGTAAAATATTAACTGCTGGTCAATAAAAACGGACTGAAATTTTCCTACCACACACAGAGAGGCAAAAAAAAATTGCTTGGATTTGAATCTGCAGCCATCACAACTCCACTGGTGTCCCCGTAGTCACTCCAGATTTCCGTAAGTGTAAGACTGGCCAGATTTCTAAGGCAGTCCAGCTTCCACCTCCTGTTTGTTTTATTTAATTTTGTTACATATTTTTCTTCTGCTTGTCATGAGCTATATCTGAGCTTACAGGACATGAGAACAGAAAGAAAAAAGCTATATGACAGTTGTTTTCATTAATAACATCTCTCATCAGTAGATATCAAACACCTTACAAAGAGGCCAGCTTCACGGTCCTCATAATAAGACTGGAGGTCCAGCAGCCTCTATTCAGGAACACTGCTTTTGTGTTAAGCACTCCACACTCAGATGCCACCTGACTAAAACCAGAACACAGTTCTTTCTAGCTGGTTTTTTTATGTTCTCCCAAAGACGTTCAGTAGGCTAAAAGGTAGGACAGTGTGTGGCAACATTGACTTCTGCCACTGTAAATGTCTGTAACACCGTTTCCACACCTTCAGTCATGGAAGTGAATGCCAACCTTCACGTTGTCATTCTGCCCACTTGAAAACACATCACTGAACAGTATAACACACTAAATATTAAAACATGTAAATAATCTTGGGATGTTGTAAGATGCAGATAAGATTATAGAAGTTTATGTGGGTACTGTGCCCATTTACTTGTTTAAACGTCTAGTGTTTGGGCATTGAAAAGCTTGTGCATTGCGATGACCGGGTGGGCTCAGGCTGGTTGGACACCAGTGTGGGTGGGCTAGCACTTCCGTGCCTCAGCACTTCATGAGCTTTGATACCAAGTTACATTGTCTTTTTATTTAAATGAACAATTCAGCATTTCTGGTGATTTCTATTTTAATATTACTATTAATATCTATTTTAATATGACTGAAGTAAAAGAAAATAGTATCTTTGTTTATCACAAAAAATAATGAAATATCACAAAAATTTAAAATCCCATCAAGAAAAATAAATCCACACAATAGTTATTTTGATCCAAGCAATACTGATCGAAACAGTATTTGATAAAAACTGTGTTGATACAAACAAAACCTAGTCATAATAATATAAAGAAACTATTGTTAATTAAATTTGAACAAACTATATTAGCAGTTTGTGTTTGCAAAGGACAGTGCAAGGGAAGTATTCATAGACAGTGCTGTTGGTATTTCTTTTGAAATGAGATTATGTCAATCCACCAGCATTTAACACAGGTTAGAGTTTACATCTCCTGGCACAGTGAGATAGCAATGAGTGTGATTTCAGCAAGAAAGACTTCAAGTCATATTGGTTTTACTATATCTTTATTTGGTAATACCAAATAACAGTTGATAGTTGAAAGTTCTTAGCACAGCTTAAAGTCATATTCAGGTAATTGCACCTTTGTTAATGGGCTTTAATTGGAACTTGAATTATATAAGATAAAGGTTGAGATTAAAGTAACTTAAATACTTATATTTCAATATAGAGATAAGGAATAATATTGGTCTCTCTCTGATTTACAAGGTAATGATTCGCATCTTGTATAAGTGAACCAAAAGTAGGAAGGTGGACCCATGGCAATGACATTACTGTTATACTAGAAACGTAGTTAACCAGTTCCTTTGCCTCAGGAAATTCTGTTCTGATTGAAGATCACACCCTAAACGTCATCCCCAGCCTCACATGCCTACAGAGTACAACCAGACCAATGCTGGCAGGGTATTGCTTTGCTCCAAAGACCACTCACTGGTCAGATAATTAAAACTGCAGCATCAAGAGCTGTGTGGCTGTGTGAATGGATGAGGATACGCTGAAATGAGCATATTGAAGCAAAGCAGAACATCATGGACAGAGAAAATGTCCCCATAGCTTAGTGGAAGTAGAGTTCAATGGCTTTGCTTTTTTGCCTTTCTGATCCTTTTCAGTTTCTAACATTGGTGAAAAATCCCTTACTTGGTTTTGTGTACACAAGTCTGCATCTCAACACACACACACACACACACACAGTCTCACATATATGCATATATACATGCATATCTAGTGCATGTTTCTGTATATATATCTGCATATGTGCATCTATGTGGATTTTGATACCCCACATCTCCTACAGCCTTCTGGTTCAGTCCAGCTGTTTATTAATACTACTGACTCCAACATAGCCCATATATTTGCTTTTTTAATCTGGCTTTTTATATACAGATATCACCTGTTTCTGCCAGTGCTTTCCAAAGGGAGGTGAGTGTGTGCGGTCTTGTTGATCCCTCAAAGCAAAGATAGGCCATCAAACAGACAACAGGTTAGGAAGAGAGGAGCAATGTATGGGTGTAACAAGGGTGTCAGAGCAGTCAAGTGTAGCACAAACAGTTTTTAAAATAAAATAAATATGTATATTTTTAAAAGATCGGTCAGCCTCTAGATGTGATGTTAAAACATTTTGGGAACAACGGTGATTTAGCTGAAAAAATCGGATTTTAGGGTAACCTCATATGAAATTGCATAATATGTAATTGTGTAAAGAATCTTTTTATCCTTCATGTTCAATGGAGCCTATGATTTGCTCTGCAATCACATGCTTTATATTGAAATAATTCTTTTCCCAGAGGATTTTAAAATTACCAACATTTAACTCAGTTAAGTACCTTATCTAGAAACAAAAGTGTGAAGTTAAAAATCCTCCTTATTTTTAATTTGATTCCTACCATACTTTCATGAAGTGGATTCAGGTCAGATGTGAGAGAATATGTTATAGTGCTTATTTGTGAAAAGATATTTAATTCAGAGATGTGCCACTCAGTTCACTCTGGAACGGCTTGTTTGTAAAGCAATACAGCACACGACTGTTCAATGATGCTATTTTGTTAATTAATAGAATAGCCCAGTTTAAATTTCACGGAATTGAAAGAAAAGGATGATACCCTGCTCTGAAATGTCTGTCACTCCCAAAGAGCCAAATTCAGAAGTGGATAGAGATTTCTTTTTCTCTCTCTTCCAGACAAATGGGGCAAGCCCTTCTATGCAGTGTCTAAAATTTTATCTGGGATGGTGAGGATGATGTTTCAGATACATCCTGCCTGACTCCCTGCTTCAGGCAGGTCCATAAGGAGCCAAAGTTTTTCTTACTTCTCCTTTGATCAATGAAAGAGTTAATTTGAATTAGAATGTGCGAGCATTATAGTGTATGTGCTAGGGATTAAAGATCAGCTATTATAAATAGTCAATCTATAAGCCACCAGCCGCTAGCTTGCATTGCACTTTGACCTTATCTTTATATGTAACAGGAAAGAGCTGTTCTTCGCCCACACAGGAGGGGACTGCTGCGGCTGTGGGAGCAGCTGGGTAGAGGACGCAGATTTTTATTACATGAGAGATGGAGACGATATTTGGTAGAAATAAAGAAGAACATCCAGAGCCCATAAAAGCTGAGGTGCAAGGTAAGGGAAAGAAAATCTGTTCTAATACGTGCGGTTACTTTGGTGTTTTCTAACATGAAAACACTGAAACACTTGCTTACCCAAGACAGCACTGAAAAGGGAAACTGAAAAAGCTGGAAACGTCAGTGAATTTTGTTTAAAGGACTGATCTCAGATAATATTTGTGCTTTGACTGTGGGATTTTTCTCACTTTATGAGCATTTGTGTTTACTTTTCCAAAAAGACTGTTTGAACAGGATTCACTGAAGTTGGTAGTGAGGAAGGAAGTCTCGGGATTTAATCTGGTGACATCCCCTCCCCCCTGCCTCTGGTCAGGCTTTTGGCTTCTCCTCTCTGTAACCCTTCCCTGCGCTCCCTCTGTTTGCTGGGGCTGCCTTGCCTCTTCCAGAGGGTCACTAAAATTGGGACTCTAAGTGGAAGAATTTCTAAGTAGAAAAGCAGCAGTAATGGATGCCACCATGTACCCTTAAAAAGAGGGCTCAGAAGTTAATCCAGTAAAAACTGTAGAGTATCCTTCAGAGAGGTAGTTTAGGGTGGCTCTCTAGGGGTGAATCCGTTATTTTTACTGGTTTTTCTACTTTACAAAAGAGCTTTTTGCTACACCTCTGGGAGAGGTTTGTTGCTGAGAACAATTTTGCTTTAATAAATGCATGCTCTATTTTTTGTAATATGTAGTCTAAGAAATGGTAGGCATCTAATACAAATTTTGAAGTCACTTCCCAAGTACAACATTTAAAAAGACAACAACTGAAATTTGCATGACTTTGTTGGTGTTATTCAGTTTGTTGACTGGATTGGAAAAGATTTTGTTTCAAGTCAGGCAAAGAGCTTAGCAATTACAAAAACTCAAGAGAACTTGATCTCTTTAAATATTTTGCTAGCCCTTGAACTCTGCTGGTACTTCAGTTCCTTGTTACTCAATATATCCACTGCAAATATGACCCCATACTTCTAACCTCAGCCGTAAGTTGCTCTGCTAAACACTTTACAGCTGTGTGGTTGTGTAAGACTCCATTGCTGTGATAGTTTAAGAACTTCAAAATATTTTGAGATTTTACTGCCTCACTTTTGTGTCCTCAAGTGGTACAGAAAAGTGTAATTATTTCCAGTTCAGATAAAAGTCTGAACCAAAAAGACACAAGGTCCAGATTTTTAAAGCTGTTTAAGCACTTCAGCATGCTGACTGGCATTCAGTGTGATTTACAGAAATTCTTAATTCTCAGTAAGATCAGTTTTCATCTGAAAACATCACTAGATGACCCTTTGCTCCATGCTTTTCATACTGGAATTATGCCAGAGATTACACTGAATTACACCAGAACTTTCAGAAGCTGCATCAAGTCCACAGTGCCTTAAAAACAAGATCCCCTTTTATCCCTGTTTATCTCGTCCAACAAAATTACTTTATTGACTTGTCCTGAAGCTTTTTGAGCATTGTTATTCTGATATAGAGTAATAATCTCTAAACAAAATTTTTAGCCCTAGAAGCTGCAAGATGTTCACTGAATTGCAGAAACATCTGCCTCTCTTGAATGATAGGCCCCAAAGCAGAAGACAGTTTTACTGGGTCTTTAGTCATTTTAGTCATATAAACAGACTGAATTTATCCAGCAATTAATGTTCGCTAATCAGCCAAACAAAAATTATACAACTATTTTTAATACAGACTTTAAAAAAAAACCATAATCCTATTCTATGAAGGAATTTTTTTGCTAACTTGTGATTTTCTCACTGCCTTCTGATCAACTATTTTTAGTTACTCAGGTTTTGTGCAATTATCTCTATTAAAGGTTGAACCTTGTTCATCTTATACAAAACGTACTGTAATTATTGCATTGCAATTTCTTGTATTAGAAAGGCAATTAAGGTTTGGTTTTCATTCTTCCAGAATGTAATAACAACGACAATAGTAATAATGATAACAACAACAATAACAATAATATAATTCATCCATTGTGCCAACATCTTTTTATCTTCCTCGTGTATTCCAGAACTGTAGCACTGATGAAGTTGTGTAACTGTTGTGGCACACAATAGTAGTCAGTTAGCCTGCCTGACAATGTTTTTTAGGTAAAGCTGACATTTGCTCCATATCTTTCCTTTGCATTTGGATGTCTTGAGTCCTTAATGTAATTTGTTTGAAGAAATGGCAAACTTCCTTGCCTACAGAGGTCAAAATTCAGAAAATATTCTGTTATAAAGTGGTCAAAGTCCCTTAGGATCTCAGAAAGTCTTATAGCAAAACCATTGTTATCTTTCTGCAACTGCATCAGCTTTGACAAAATTGAGTATTTCCATGGGAGGACATTTCTGTCTGTTGTAAAGGGAGTATTAATAAGAAAGTGTGGCAGCATATTTGACATGGGGCCACAAACTAAATGATAAGGAGAATTAGAAGTTCTGAATAGCTTTTTATGTAGAGACAATGTTCAGTGCAGGAACTGTATGGAAAAGTATTATGTGATCTTAAATACTCCCTTAGATGGCATGCACACAAAGAAGCAAGTGAAGCTTTCCATTTTGCATCTGATACGCTTTTCTCAGCTCTTTAGCCCTAATGACATTGTTTAATTGTTGTTACTCTGTGTGTCACGTGGTCGGTAATGTATTTCTTGCAGGGATTTGATGAGGAGCGTTTCTTACTCAAACCTCAGCAGTACTTATGTATTTTCATTATAATATTCCTACCCTTTATTTGTGTTCAAAATAGCAACATTATGGCCAGTGTCACAAAAGTACTCCCAAAATGACACTACATTATGCTGTGTAATTTAATTAATGAAATTTTTACTGTAATTCATTTAGCCTGAAGTTTAAATTTATGTACTGAAGGCCAATGCAAGTCATATAACCTATAAATTCTGTTTATTTCTGATAAACTCTACCTTTTTCTGGCATGAGTAAAAGGGTTTAAATGTATCACTTTAAAATCTGAGTGCAGGAAAGAAAGGTCCAGCTTTATTCACTTCTCGCTATTTAACAAATTACATTCCAGCAATCTCATCTTCTTATAGTAATCTCATATAGCAGTATTAATGCAAAATATTACTAGTGCCACATTTTTAATCAGGTCATATTTTCGATAACCACAACTCCAACATAATTATATGGTGTTACAAATCTTTATTTACGCCCATGGTCTGTCTGCCTACATGAAGCCTATGGCCTCAGGAAAACTGTCCTGTAACGTGCCCCTCACGTGAATGAATGGATACTGGTATCTCCTTTTTGTTTACAGGTCAGTTGCCCACTTGGCTGCAAGGGATACTTCTCCGAAATGGCCCAGGGATGCACACAATAGGGGACACCAAGTATAACCACTGGTTTGATGGCTTGGCTCTGCTGCATAGCTTTACATTTAAAAATGGTAAGTTGTTGTACATCAGATTAAAAAAAACCTCAACAGCCCAACTCCTGGTGCCTTGTGTTGCTAATTGTGTTTTGAGTTTGATTAGCGTTGCAGCGTTGCAGATTTTGTCTGCAGAGTGGCATACCTGGTGAGGTGGAACCGCTGTGGGGAAAGTCTCCAGACTCACCTCACTCTCCACAGCAGCAGCAGGAGTGTCTCCCCAGGGCTGTTATCAGAGATAGGTTATCTTGTCCTTTTTTTCTGGTGTGCCAAAGTTCAATGTTGTCTGCACTGCAGGATAGCCTGCAACCAGCCCGGAGCAGGTCACTGCAGGGCAGCTTTCCACTCAGAGCAAGAAAACCTCTATTGTTGCAAACTGGATCAACCAAAAGTACTGTAATATCCAGAGGTTTTTCTGCTGTGGATAAACAACCTGGTTTCAGGGCAGATGAACGTTCCCCTTCTGGGATTTGATTGCAGCTATAACAGCTGCCAGGAGAGAAACTGAGCCACTGTGTCACTTCACATATGTATGTCACCTCACTTTTGTATACTTGACACCTCTACAAGCAGCCCTCCTATATATTATCCTTATGGAGGGAAAACAGGCAGCTCCTCTATCCAAAACAATTTAACTTTTTGTTTTCAGTTAAAGCATTTTTAATCAGTTCAGCTGTTTTACAGTGTGAGGCAGATGCTTTACACCCAGATTCTTGCTGCAAAAGTACGTATCTGTAAAGTAACTGTGTTTTACTTCTGTCATCCTCCATTCCTAGTGTTTACATTTTAGTTTCCATTTTTGTGATCAGAGGCATTTGATGCAACTGCAGCCCTTGCGCATCCAGGTCTACTTCCTTAACAAAATAACCTATAAAGAAATGGCCAGTGTTTTTTAAATTGCCAGTATATTTTACTTACCTAAAGCAAACAGAGCTCAGTTAGTTCAAGTACAGTGGTCCATTGAATTGGTTAGGACAGACATTGATTCCTTCAAGCAATCTGTTACTCTCTCTTAACTAAATTTTGCCAATACAAGAGATGTATCCCCACCCACACACTGATGGATAGTTAATAATTTTTACTGACATTGTTGTGGTTTACTGGAAGAGTTTATCGGAATCCCTCCTCTCCTCTCCCCAGTCCCCCAATATTGTCTAAATGTGTTGGGAATCAAGGATGCTAGTATTAATCATTACAAGTCTCAGCAGCCACAAGAACAATCCTGGGTTCCTTAGGGGGCTGAAAAAGCCTTCCAAAGCAGGGAGTTAGGGATATTGTTGGTTTCAGTGCAAACTTTTCTTAGCTTAAGGACATCTGCTTGAGGAACTCCTTCTCTGACTTTACCTATGCTAATTTTCTAACAAACTCAGTATGAAGTGTGAAGTGTGGTTGAAACCTTTTTGGCCTTTGTCAGGTGAAGTTTACTACAGAAGTAAGTATCTCCGAAGTGACACATACAACTGCAATGTAGAAGCAAATCGAATTGTGGTGTCTGAGTTTGGAACGATGGCTTATCCAGACCCATGCAAAAACATATTTGCCAAGTAAGTAATGCTTTTCCAATAAAATTCTTCTATCTACTTCTCTCTCCAGCATAGATACCTTTCTGTTTACCCTTGACATATCTTTAGAAATAGGAAATGTGTTTTGTAAATTTATAGTTGCCAAATATTGACAAGGCCAAGAGATGTATTCAGCACTGTATGCTCTATTGGTTATTCTAAGGCCAATATTTTAAATTCATTCTGTCAGCTGTATTGGCTGTTTTAGTCACTATTGCAAGTAGATTTTGTAATTTTTAAAAAACATTTTCCAGTGTCTCGCAAAAGTTTATGAAAATGATACTCTGTAAGGGGAGAAGCAGCAAGAAAGGAAAAGATTAAGAGATAGGGAAGGAACTTATGCCAAGGTAATTAAACAAAAAGAAGAAAAGCATAATAACTGAAAAAAAATAGAAAAACTTCTGGATTAAAGACCATTTTTACCAAAAAAGGTGATTAAAAATTTCACTTGCTTCGTGAGTCATGTGCAGTGATTTGAAGGACGGGATCCATAGGCCTTAGCTAATCTTATGTTCAAAATCAGAAACACTTGAGATCACTGCAATAGATGCTTTCATACCTTTAGAAAGGATGCTAGGCTCTGTACGAGAGGCAAGGTGTAAGCCCTCATGTTATCACCTTCTTGTAAAACCAGCTGTGGATATTCCCTGACAAATGCAGGTAGCTTACGCACCTCTTCTTCCTGTCTGAACTATCTCTAATGACCTTGAATTTGATGTTTGGGAAGAGCACATGCATGGATAGTTACTGCAAAATCGTTCCTATGTTGTAAATTGCTACCCTGAGTAAAGATACTTTTCTTCCCTTTTCTGACACATAGGGTAACACTAGTATTTTGCGTCTGAAAGGGATATAAGCAAATTGGTCTTGACTTCACATGAACATGATAAAATCCTACACTAATAAGGAAAACAGTGAAGTCCACATGTGAAGTTGGATCTTTGAAAATGTAATTGTGATTTGGGATAACACCGGGAACAAAAGTATTCTGTCAAGGAGTATATGAATCCATCTATTTTACGAAAGCATATGCTGAAAAAAGCTACCAGCTTTTAGGCAAAAACTTTTAGGCCAAATTCTCACAAGGTATACACCAGAGAGCGTGTAATTAGCCCATCCTGATAAACCAGTGTATATGTTACAGCTCACAGCACGACTGGACCTGGATGTCCATTTGTGTATGGAAAAACAGTTGCATGCACGTCCTTAACCCTCTCCCAGGCCAAGGGCACTGAAGAAGTCCATCTCCTCTACTTTTCCACCCCTTCCACCCAGGCAATGCAGGAGCAGCCAGAAAACGGAGGGATGGACCCAGCTCCGTCACCCTGCTGCTGTGCACAGCCTGCACTGCTCAGGTGCCTTCTGCTTTGCATGGGTGAAAGGTCCCACAGCTTCTGCTGCTCTGATGCACCGATACGAAATTTCCCTCTGTACAGGGCATTCACATACTTGTCTCACACCATTCCGGAGTTCACAGACAACTGCCTGATCAACATTATGAAAACTGGGGATGATTTCTATGCTACCAGTGAGACTAACTTCATCAGGAAGATTAATCCACAGACTCTGGAGACATTAGAGAAGGTATAAACGACTGACTGTCATTCTGGTTCCTCATCTGCTAATGAATACATTTTCAGGCTGACTCATAAGAATCCTTTAGCACGTGCAAGACACAGAATTGGAAAGACGCTTTTTCTGCTATTCTCTTCCTTTTGAAATTGTGGTAAAGTGAAATGGTAAAGATACCACATCTTCTAAGAACTAATAAATTCAAAATTAAATCCCTGGTAGTTGAGAAAAGCTGGACTTTGAGCAATTATGACATAATTATTTTGGATAATTTCCATTATTATGCATCTGTAGTTATCAAGTGATTTACATAATTAACAATTCAGTAGGTCAGTTATATGACTACTCTTCAAGTACCTTATGCAAGATACTACTTAGTTATTAGAATGAGATCTTGGCATATTGAAATAGACAAGTTTTTTCTAGCACACAGTACAGTTTGAGTACAATTTCCAAGCTTTAAGTCAAATAGAAGTCTCTTGCCTGCAGAAGATTGCTGGAGTCATAGACCTATTAAATAAACTTGTTTCAGAATGAAATGGACATTTGCAGAGTGTCTTTAGCCAGTCCTCCCATTGTGTTACATGGCTGCAAGGGAGAGCTGCATGTAACTCAGACTCTTTAATTTGTTTTAGCCTTGAATTAGGAAATCATCTGAGTACCTATGTAAGTCATTTGGCTTAACTGTTTAAATTGCAAGCCTTTTGAAAATGGTGTACCAATAAAAGGCTGCCAGTGCTAAAAAGGTGGTGGATTTGTGGTGTTAGCTGAGATAAATCTTAATTATTTTACACATCTCTAAAATCTGTTGTATCATTTTCCAGGTTGACTACAACAAATATGTATCTGTAAATATAGCAACTTCTCACCCGCACTATGACAGTGCTGGAAATATTCTCAACATGGGTACTTCAATAGTTGATAAAGGGAAGACAAAATATGTCCTATTTAAGATTCCTCCCCCTGTGCCAGGTAATATATATGTCTTTTGTCAGTATTTTTTACAAACTTGCTATAAATGTATTTTCTTCTGACGTTAAGGGGTGATACAGCATTCATTTCCTTGATTTAAACCTATTATGAACTTAATGTTAACTGCTTAGCCTGCCTGGGCATGTGCTATCACAAAGGTTCATCTTGAATACTGTGTAAACAGGGTGTTTCAGTATGAAAAATCTTGCTTTTAGAATAATTTGACTGTGGAAGAATTCTACTTTGACTATTACTACAGTGAACTAACTATTTTAGAAGAGTTTCCATTCCCTGAATTGTGATGTGTAGAGGGAGGATATACAGAAACAATTTTATCTATAGGGCAGTATATATCATTTGAAGTTGAAGCATAATGGCAAATAATACCTAATATAACGTTAATTCCTCTCTAACCTGGCCTGCACTAGGCCTTGCTGAAATCCTGTCCTTTGTTCACAGAGCTGATCACTTGCTCTTCATCCTTTAGGACAATCTTTTTTTTTGGTGGTGTTTAAAATCAGCTGCTAATGTGATGTCAGTTCTCTTGGTTGAACAACCAAGAGGCCTTCCTCAGCTGAAAGATAAGTTTGTAATTTCTAGCTGGGGCTCAAACAAAGTCAGTCGAGATCAAACTGGAACATCTCCTTATAAGTTCAAAAACGTGGAGGCATTTGAACCCCATTGTAAAGCTGCCGATTTAGTTGAACATTTCTCTCCTCTATGCTGGAACTCCTGAAGACAGTAACCAGTGGAATCAAATACAAGGATGAGGGGGCTCTGTCTAAATGGATCTGGCATTGTGATGTTACTGTGTTGCTTCACTCAGATGCAAACTTCTATAATAATTCTGCAGGAGGAAACAAACCACTTTCTTAACAGGAAAATGCAAATGAAACTAAGAGGAATCTGTTCTTTCCTATTTCATACATGGGAGAAATCCAAGCACAAGAATAGATTGCGATTTATTATAATTTTTTTTTTCATTTATGTTCAGAAGAAGAAAAGAAGAAATCTTGTTTTAAGCGTCTGGAAGTGGAATGCTCCATCCCTTCTCGCTCTCTGCTCCATCCAAGCTACTACCATAGCTTTGGAATCACAGAAAATTACATTATCTTCATAGAGCAGCCATTCAAACTGGATATTGTCAAAATGGCAACTGCTTACATCCGAGGTGTGAACTGGGCTTCCTGCCTTGCCTTTAATAAGGATGATAAGGTATTATTCCTAATGCTGACCAATGGAGTCTACCAGGCCAGTTAGCTCTTCCACACTGTCCCATTTTTCATCTGGTTCATTAATTTCAGTAATCCCTCATTTATTTTCAACTCTTGACTTTCATGTTGTACAGTTTTTTTAGAAGTTGTATTTTTGAATACTATCTCCTATCTCCAGAAATTTCACAAATAAATATTGGATGCCAAAGTGCTTGAAAAAGAGGATAGTTTGACATTGTTAGAAATATTGTGTGCCAGCAGAGAAATTCAAAACCGCACTAGCATCCCAAACACATACAGTTGCTCCTGGTCCAAACAAAATACTGGATACTGTGGATGAGATCTGCTCTAGATCTATTGCATCAGGTAGGAGAGCCAGACTGGTGGAAAACCCTGCACCCAACAAAAGGAGAGTCTTTCACTGTGGCAACTGAGCAAGAAACCTGTTTTCTGGGGGCCTTATTTCCACAAGCTCTAGCCATCAGTAAGTGGCGCATGGTGTGGTAGAGGACACCAGCACAGAGCACTACAGAGACTCTGGACTAAGGCACATTTATGTAACTTACAAAGAAAGCAAAGGATTTTCCAGGTTCTACCAGAAAACTGCAATCCACAGCCTAGCCCAAATAGTAGTTTTCAGCAGTTAAAGGAATGTAAAGCACTTCCACACTCACTTTACTCCTGCATTTTTTGATCTTCAGGTTAGAACCTCTGGTCTCCTATCAGCAAATCCTGAGTTCTGAATATGCTTCAGAAGAAACAGACAATACATTAGAATGCTGATGCTGCCACTAGAAAAAGCTCTCCTAAATAACTCTTTGCTGATCATTAACAGTTTTAAATAATGTCTCCTGTTTTTCAGACTTGGTTTCACTTTGTAGACAAGAAGACTAAAAAAGAAATACCGACCAAGTTTTATACCGATGCTATGGTGTTTTTTCACCATATAAATGCTTATGAAGAGGATGGCCACATTATTTTTGATATTATTGCCTATACAGACAATACCTTATATGAAATGTTCTATTTAAAAAACCTGAATAAAGACTTTGAAGAGAACACCAAGCTTACCTCCATACCAACCTGCAAACGATTTGTTGTTCCTCTGCAGTATGACAAGGTAGAAAGAAAATGGCTTTTTAATCTCTTCTTTGAGCAGTAATTTAAATTACATCAGTGTGAATAATGGGCGATTTATTAGTTGCCAGCCCTTATGTGCAAATTTCTGATTCTTTAAAAATAGTATCTATGCAAAGCATGCAGGAGTTTTGTTTTGTGTATATATTGTGAGAAGTGGCAGTGAGCAGCTGCACATCCAGTTATGTGGATCTAGGTTCTGATACCATCCATTATGGAGAACAGGACTATTAAGCATACGTCATTTCCTTACCAGTGAGTTTATTTGTAAAATGCTATCAAATACAAGCAGCTATATCAACTAGGCTGTTGACTGGAAGGGCATGCATGAGGTTTTGCACAATCTGTTTCTTCCACTTTACTGGATGCCAACATATGCGCATGCTCCCATGTTGCAATGGTTTTATTAAAATCAGAAGATTTCATTTAAGTGTGAGATTTGCCACGAAGAGGAAAGATTTTATCTTTCAGTTTAATTTAAAACATCATTTTACATTGTTGTCTGCAGGGTAGATTTTGTACTGCCCAGCAACTTGGGCAAGTTTCTGCTTGATACATTTGGAATGGATAATACTTCTTCTTTTTACCTCTTAGAATCTTGCTGCTTTTCTCACGTCTCAAATACAGTTATGCAGCAGTGACAAAGGATGTATTGAATCACACCAGCTATCCAGACTACCATGCAATCTTAAGAATTCAGCAACAGCGCATTAAAAACAAGAATGCATTACACTTATTTTTGCACTTGATTTATAGCAGGTGCAAAAAAAATGTAACCTAAGTGACTTTTAGTGGTAATTTGATACGTAATTCCTTGGCACTCATCTTCATTAATTGAATTCACAAACTATGTAATCCATTTATCGTGCTTCTGGAACACAGAATCACAGAATGCCTTGGGTGGGAAGGCACCTTTAGAGGTCATCTGCTCCAACCCCCTGCAGTAAGCAGAGACATCTTCAACCAGATCAGGTTGCTCAGCACAGTCCAGGACGCTTCCAGGAATGAGGCCTCTACCACCTCTCTGGGCAACCTGTTCCAGTGTTTCACCACCCTCATAGCCTTGTCTATCTAAACCTTTCTAAAGGCTTGGTGTGATTTAAAGTGGTTAGTCTATGATATATTAAAATCCTCTGAGCCTGACAAGATTTCTAATGAAAAGGTCAGAATCTAATGGTACAAGATAAATGCCATAAGAAGAAACTTCTTGAAGCTGGATTATTTGTTTCATCTCAAAATTGTCTATATTAATATCAAACCTGATGAAAAGTCTAAATTAGAAACATATTCTTAGATACACAATACCTTTTCAGCATATGTCTCTTTCAGGATGCCGAAGTAGGTTCTAATTTAGTCACACTTCCATCTACCGCTACTGCTGTGAAAGAGAAAGATGGCAGCATCTATTGCCAACCTGAAATACTATGTGAAGGTGAGACTTATCCATTATACAGCTCTCCAAGATGTTCTCCTACACACACACAGATGCATTCTAATAATGCTTAATGTTCATATATGTAAGATCTTTATAAAGCTAAAAGAAATGAAACTTGTAATTAGTGTGTTTAGTGTAGATAGTGACAATATCTTTCTCTTCTTCCCTTCTCTGGGTCTATCCCTTAATATGTGACCCTGAACCTCTCAGATATATATTTATCAAGAGTGGAATCCTTTAAATAGCTGAAGTTACATCAGTTTTGTATTAATATAGGGTCCCAAGCCTGATCTTACAACTATTAATATGGCTTGCAAATCTACCTGATACAAAAGTAATTTTAGTTAAATATGTCTGTTATAAATAGTAACTACAGGTATTGTTGTATTTTACAAAGATTGCCTTTGAAAGTTTTTTTTTTGTTAAACCTTTTTTCAGGGAATAATAACAGGAATACGTAAAGAGTACATATTTACCTAATGTGAAAGTAATGTCTTAGAATGGTAGCCTTCAATTACATCCCACATGCTCACATCGCATGTATTCATGAAGAAAGAAGAACAAAACCAACCAAACCAAAAACCCCCTCATAAGTTCCAGGATGAGTCCCTAAGAATAAAAAATTGATATTTTTGAACTAACAAACCTGGATATCTATCTTCAGCTTTTTAGAAAATCAGACATATAAAATCTATGCAACGCCTGTTTTACATACTGTCAAGGTTTCTCAGAGGGCAAAACTTCCTGAAGATTGGCATATGTAAATGTACGTTTGAGTGATTTTTCTTTTCTTGTTCTTAAATCTTGAACTGTATTTTACCCAGGGATAGAACTGCCTCGCATCAACTACGACTATAATGGCAAAAAATACAAATATGTCTTTGCAACAGAAGTCCAGTGGAGTCCAGTTCCTACAAAGGTATAATTAACATTTACTAAGTCAGAAACTGTATTTATACAACACAGATAAAATGTAAGTAGTTATAAGCAGACCATGCTTTACTAATTTGGCCCCAAATATAGCCTAATCTGCATTCGTACATGTAAAACCAAAGTGTGTGGTTCTGAGGCCAGAAACTGAACTCTTTTTTTTCAACATCAAGATAAATGATGACACTAATTGATGACACTGCAGTTGGGTACTATGCTCATAAACACCATCACTTGAAAACAGGGAGATGAAAAGTTAGACATATGTCTAGCTTACTTGTACAATTAAAACAGCCCTACTAGGCCAAACTATTGAAAAAATTATATCTTCATCTTACTAGTTGAAAATCTGGAACATTTTTATCAGCTGTTAAAAACATGTAGTCCCATAGGCAGCCAAAGAGATGGTTTCTTACAGATGTGACTTGAGATTGGATTCTCAAGTATTCAACAGTGTATGTGTTTCTGTCAAAACTTTTCCCATTGGTGAGTCATCCACATGCAAAGAAACACGAAATGCCTAAATTCTTATAAAGGTAAGCTCATCTTGTTCCATTTGCCTCATAAAGCATTCATAAACTCAGGCTTCTTTATCCAGCTTTATATTTCCACAGTGTCTCTTCAACATTATAGTTACTGAGAACCTCAACTTGTTCTTTGCCAAGAGCTACAAAGAAGAGAGTAGGAAAAAGAAGTACTAGATGAACATACATCTGTAATATTCTTTCCCTTTAGGTAACCTAATTAAGAAAAAAAAGTCACTGCAACAGTGTCTAATAAATTAAAAATGTTAAAACAATGTCTAATTTTTCAGAAAGCTTTATATTTTGCTAGCTAGTTCTGTATTAGAGGGGAGCAAATGCTTTGTTTGTGTATGCATGATGTCAACTTCTCAGGAGACAGCCTACAATACAAATATATTAAGATGATAGTTGAAGTAAGAGTATTATACAGACAAACTCACTCTTTATAATTCGTGTTCTATGACTGTAAGGCAGAACAAATTGAGTTCACTGTTGGTTCTTGTATATAATTACCACAACTGATTACAAATTAAAGCTGGATTTCTGCATGATGCAAGAAAATTTATTGCAGCACATCTGACAGTGGCTCAAACAGATCTGCAAGTTTGTGATTTCTAGCGTAGATAATCTGTGCTTGACTTAAATATAATTAAAAATGCTGATAGAAGATTTTTTCCTGCACCAATTGCTCTTTAATGTTGCTCACAACAATAATCATGTATAATCCTTAGGTAAAGTCTGTCAACGAAATTGCTGTCATCTTGCTTAGAAGGGAGAATTCTTCCAGATTCTTCCTCCAGTAACTGGAATAGTTTCACTTTTGTGTAAGCATTTTTTTTTACTAAAGATCAGAAGGGAAAAGAATATAACTGCATTTGTATGGGCAGAGAAAAGGCCTTAATCAAATTTAACTGAAAATGCCATGCATTCCCACTGGCGAATGGTTTGGTCAGGCGAGATGAAAATCTTTACTCTCTTCCTTCTGAGAATCTGTGTGGAATTCTTGCTCCATTGGTTTAGTCTTTACACACTGCTGTTTGTATGCGCCTTTGTTCTGGCATATATACCCTACTTAACAACAGAAGGTCTTGAGAAATATTGAGGTCACAATAAAAGGAAAATAATTCACAGGATTAGAAAATGAAAGGTTTAAATCCTGTTTCCTGCTTTGCTACAGAATCACAGCGATTTGGCACAAGTCACTTACATGTTTTGGGCCTTGGACTCTTCCTCTGTATAGGGAAGGTTCTCTCATCATCTCTTAGAATTTGTAAAATAGTTAAAGGCTATAAATGAAATGTACAGTTGTAACCTAATGAAATGAAATTAAAAGAACATTGTGTGATTATGCAGCCACTAAATGTGACTCCAAAGTTTAACATTTTCCAGGTTTTACCTTCTTGTGATGACACATGCCTTGTTGCTCCTTAACTGTTAGCATTGGTTCCCCATGCCAGCAGTCTGTTCATGTTGTACCTTTGAAATAAGCCACTGTCTGGGTCAATGACATTCTTCTTTTCTGGTCACAACAATTTAGATTGCAAAACTTAATACCCAGACAAAGGAAATGCTCCATTGGCAAAAGGACCACTGCTGGCCATCTGAGCCCATTTTCGTTCCCAGCCCTGACGCAAGAGAAGAGGATGATGGTAAAATAATGACAACATTCTGAAAGCTGGAGTTACATGAGTTTTGCATTAAATCTTACAGGTTTCATTGTTCTTAGCCAAGAAATCTGGGTTGATGCTTCCACTGTGAAATTAAAATTAGCACCCGCCATTTTACTTCTGCAGATAAAAAACGAAAGCAACAAGAGACCAAAATCAGCTTGTGCAATGTCCCAAGGCAGCCATAAACAATAAAACAAATGCATAGGATTTTCCAGAGAGTTGCTTAGAGGTGGATTTATCAATAGTTTGGAGCAGCTGAACCTATGGGAAGTCAGTGCTGTTACAATGAGAACATGAAGTGGCACTGCAAGTATCCCTGCAGTCTCAATCCACTTCTGTTCTCAGGCGATTCCTTGCAAAGGGAAATGGCAAACACATGAAAAGATGAGTCCCCAAACTACTGGGCACATAATTCAGTGTTGGTTCCCTTTTTGTCTTCCCAATGAACTGCGGGCAGACCAGGAAAAAACACAGAAGAGAAGCACTCGTTAATTCTTTAGCACTCTCAGTAGGCTCCTTGGTCTAGTAAGCACTTGCAGTTTGTGTCCTAAAATCCTTAAGAAACAAGAATTGTTTCCTGACAGTGTTATCTTTTCTGCTTGGCATAACTAGTATGTGCTTCTAATTTTTCATTTGTATGTCACAGGTGTTGTTCTGACCTGTGTTGTGATGTCTGATCCAAAGGAAGCACCCTTCCTACTTGTTTTGGATGCTAAAACATTCAAAGAATTGGGTCGAGCCGTAGTAGATGTAGAAATGCACCTGGACCTGCATGGAATGTTTATACCAGAGAAAGATTTGAAGCCTGAAGCTGAGTAAAATGCTATTTATTGTATTACACAGTCTGAGACAACCTTCTACTGAATGTGGGATAATACAATTCAGGAACAACAAGAAATTACTAAATATATCTCTCCAATAACTATATGTAATCTCTTATAAGAGACAGCAATGGCTTTTGTTACAAATGATTCTATGCACAACTGGTACATATCTATTCCAAAAGAAGAATGATCAATATTGAGTGCTAATGTTATATACGACTTGTGGGGCAGGGAATAGGAGACAAAGGTAACAAGAATTGCATTATTTGAGTAGAATATAGCTTTCTGAGGAAACAAAGTACTGTAATTGTAGGGTGACGCACAGTATGAGTCACATATGTCTGCAGGTCACGTAACTTTCATTGACTGTTTCAAGACTGCAGCTCATGATGGAAGTCCTCTCCTGCCAGAAAACCTCACGTTAAACTACCTGCTATGATACTAATAATTCATGGCAATGCATTCTCTTGGTGCTTGATTTCTTAAACTTCACCATAACCAAAGTATTAAATTGAGGTGCTACAAATTTCTAATTTAGAACCTAAAAAAACCTGCTTGGCTAATAATTTCATGGTGTATTTTTCCCTTTTATGTTGACAAAAACAAGTAACGTGAAATAGAATATATGGCTTTATATAGCATTCAATTATACTTTAGCGCTATTCAGTCTTAAGCACTTTGTATTTAAAGCTGTTTCCCTTGAAGAGAATATCTGACACGGCATTTCATGTAATTAAATGATTACATTGTGTAAAAGATAAACAGAAGTGTAGTATTTATTAATATTGCTAATAATCTCTGTTAGTATGTACATGAGTAAGAGCAGTATATTTCTAGCAGAACTTAGGGGCACATGTGCAACAAACTGTTTAGGTGAAAAAGTAGAAGAGCCAATTCAGACCTCATCTGAACTACACAGCAGCTGAAACAAGCAGCTGCTGTTGCTGTAGCTAAGCATTCGCTGTATTGTCTGCTTAGGAGCATCCATGTTCTGACACGGGCTTATCATTGCCTGTACCAGATGCTTCCTAATAAAAGTGCACAACTCTCATTCATAGTCACAATTAAAAAGCACATTTCAACATAGAGTTCAACTGCCAAGTATACCGGGACTGTGTTTTGTGACAGGAATGGCATTTCCTTCCCCCCGAGTATATTTCTCTTTCCTGATTTGGGGCATTGATTTTTCTTTTATGATAGCTTTTTTTCTTTGAATTCTCTTTTCCTGTTGCAGATAATCTTTACTGTTGGAGGCACCTTTAGTGATGGAGAAAACTAAGTATACATCCATCCATTTTAGGTGTTCATCTGGTTGGTACATATCACCACACTACTCAGGTATCTCACACTTTTATGTACGCCCTCTCACGCTGTCTTTGCTGCTCACTGTGTTTTACAGGTAGGAAACAGAATGAAATCATTGTCATTTACTATCTCCCTATCACACGTGAGTCTGGGCTTTGGTGACTTGTTCATGATGACATAAAATGTTTATGGCAGAGCAGGAATTCACCCAGCGTCCACAGTGCTTGTGTGCTCTGCAACAACTATACCTCCTTTTCTCTGCTTAAGTCTTTGCAGTTTGTAAGCATAAAGAATATACAGGCTATTTTTAAAGTTAAAAAAGTCACTGTGGTCAGGTCTAGAGTTAAAATATGCTGTTTGGAGCATTCAAATGCTTATGTATTCCATAAAATGGAAATAAACACTTTGGTACAGTATGTCTGCAGAAATAGTAATCTTTAGTGTTTTCAAGGCATATTAGCACTACTAAGTAAAGAAATTTATCTTCTAAAGAAGAAATTGAATTCAATTTTTGTAAGTAATATGGAACCAGTGCTGGAATGGAAGACTGACTTCTGATGTTGGCAAAAGACACCAGCTGTGGGGTTGTTTGTTTTAATCGGAAAAAGTTTGGATTTAACAATTCTCCACAAATATTTCTGGAATTATAAGGTGGTAATGAAGCAAAACCATTATTATAGATTTCCTTTTAAGAGTTTGTCTCCAGAATTTCTTCTGTAGAACTCATAGTGTTATGTCTTTGGATGATCATTACTTTGGATACAGGAGTCACTTGACTTCTGAGGAGCTAATTCTTACTGGCAGAGATGACATCATAGGGGAATATTCATCATAAAAACAGAAAGCAAATGTGTTATTTATGTTCGTGTAGAAATGCTGCAGAAAATAAATTACAAGACCTTGTCTTGGGTATGATTTTTTAAACAAAGTCTGCTGTATTCACTTGGTCAGTATTACACAGAATTTGATTAACATCAAGTTTGTAGTGAACATGAAGAGAAAATCGGTGATGTAAATCTGGATTTACCAATCCCAATATCCTCCTGTGACAGAGACCATATGGATAAAACTGTATAGCTCATCACAAATTTGTTCAAGAGTTTTTTTAGTAGTTGCAGTAGTAATCTGATGAAACATTTGCCCTGACTGTAGTAATACACTGTATAATTTCTGGGCTGACAGTAACAAGGGGAATGCACACACGCTTTGCCAAGTGGCTGCGAGGTTGTGGGGTTGTTTTGTTTTAGTAACATGGCACATGGTCATGAATCTGTCATTCAGTTTGCTTCTCTGACACCCTTTGCTATGAATGATGTCTTAAGGGATGGAAAGGTTTGATTCTTCTTTTGCATCAGTTTAAGTCTTAAATTAGCACAGTAAAACTAATGGAGTTATTTGTAATGGCTTTTAAAAAAATCTAGATTCAGTGATTGCAAATAAAAATAGTAAGGATAGATAGCTCCATTAAATGAAAGAAACCACAGCTGAGCAAGAGAATCAGGCCTTAGTTATGCATACATATAATTCAAAGATGTTACAAATGGCCCTCTAGTTGGCAGAGTGGTTTGGTTTGACTTTTTTTTTATCAATGGGTTTCATTAAGTGGAACAAATAACAACACATAATAATTAATTTGTTCTCTGGAAGTGGATATTATCTGTTACACATTGTCCCATTGCCCCACATACACAGCAGGAGGAAGCAGAAACACTCTTTACTTGGACAAGTTAAAAACCAGAAATACAACTATGTTTTCCTACATGACAATCTATGCAGGAGGCACAGAAACAAACCAGTGTTTTTCTTTTTAAATAACTGGGCCACTCAATGACAGCTTTCGCAATAATTTGAACCACTGTTCCCTTGGTATGCAATTACCAAAGTATTAATAACAAGCAAAATACATCTTTCACCATCAGTGCAAGATGCAGAGTGCTCTCTGCTTTCATTACCCTCAAAGAGAGCTGTGCTCTGGATCTGTTGTGCTCCTCCTTATTATACACTTGACGTCCTGGATAATTATACCCAAGCCAGAAGAAGTGGCCTTCTAATATTTTCAAATGGGTATGTTATAATAATGAGTGATGCAAAGTTGCTGGTGTTTCATGCAGATTAGTGTGTTTTTAGGCCTTCCATTGTACCAGGATGTGAAACATATCATCTGCGTATAAAACTCTTGTTCAAAGCTGCACAACAAACCAAGAGCACAGTACTCCTCTGTGACCCCTTTCCAGTCAGAAAGCACTTAACCAGGGGTTGAACTGTAAATGCTGGTTTCAATGGGGCTGTTCACACTTGGTGCCATGTTTAGACTGCTGGGGTCTACACATGCAGATGTCCCAGCTGAGATCTCCATCTGGAGAACAAAACAGCGTTGTGCCTAGCCAGGAAAGGACAACGTGGCCTTTATGAAGTAATTTTTTTTAGCTTTCCTATGGTGACGTTTCCAGATACCTTTATTCTTTTTCCTAGTTATTTGGAGACATCATCAAACTGGATTAGGATGAATTGGAAAATAAAATTTTAAGTTGTTCTCATTTCAAAGGTATGTATTTCTGAACTCACTGAATTAAAGAAACGCAAATAATAAAAGCCTGTGACCCATCACAGCTGTACTAGACCAGGCCCTCTGAAAATTTTATTCTCCCAATGGAGAAACAGAAAGCATCATGTCCTTTCGGGTGTTTCACAGCCTACTCCTGCCTGTCAGAGCAGCATCACGGAGGGCTGCTGTGTTTGTGCTCTCTTGGCAGCATGGACTGAACTGTTGGTGAAGCTGTTCGCAGTTTTGGAAACACTTTCACCTGGTGCAAAACAAGTTGCCCTCATTAAATCCTGGATGCTGTTAAAGCAAGCAGCAGCAGACGGAATCAAGTGATCTCTTAATGTGCGATTAAGCACGTTAAATATATGGCCTAAAACCTTGTGAACAGTTGTAACAAAAATATTTTTGCCTGAAAAGAGCCTATTTCCAGCTAGCAACTATAGAAAACAGAGCTATCGAAATGAGTCTCACTGTATTTCATTCTCATTCTCTCACTTTTTCTCACGCTAACGCCTATCATTTTAACTTCCAGCTCATGTAAGGGAAAAAAAA